GAATAGTGCAAAGATTTTTTAACTCTTCACCAGCTCATAAGGAAAGATGCAGAAAATTTTAAAGGAAATTTTAAAGGGCGTAATTGAGGAAAAATCGGAACCAAACCCCTATGGAATAAAATTTAAATTGTTTTACTATTTTGGGTTAAATGAAAAGACACTTAGTTCCATAAAGTGTCATTTGAAAAAAGGGGGGAGAGTGTTACCCTGTTTTGCATGGCCCTCAGTTTAATAGGGGCAACCCAAAAGTCGTGCAAAAAAGGGGACGCCACGAGATAATTGTCCTAGTCGAGGAAGCGAGGGAAAGCCCGAGCTTGACTCGTGGTCATTCGAATCATTGAGAAGTCAGAGAAGACGGTTGTATTATTTGAAGATGTCGGTCTTTATGTCGGGCAAATGGTTTACTGTTCGAGATGTTTCGCGAGTGAAATAAATGGCCAAGATAAACTGAACAGGATTGTACAATGAAGCTGAGTGGCGTTAGTGTGTGTTGTCAACCCTAGACGTTAAAGCTGGTGTACGTCAAGGTTCATTCCAAGTGAAGCATCGACTCATTCCAAGCAGACCACGCTTCATTTCAAGATAGTTGAAAGCGTAACTTCAAGTATACGTTTCGCTTCATACACTTCTTGACTTTAATCGTGTTCCAGAACCTGAGTGTGTGCCCACCAGTTTTCACACACATCTTACTTCTTGTGTAGCAAAACTGTTTAGTTCCTTGTGTCCTCAGGTCAGTATGCACTTTGACTTTGCAGGAACAGTCTCAATTAGCAGGACTCAGTTAATAAGTGCTAACTATCTGGACACGACTGGTAGTTTCTGACGCCTCCTGCTCCAATACGTACTCACCTTCATTTGACTGTTCTAGTGGAGCGACGGCTTCCTACCAGTTACTTGATTCTTTCCAGCCTATCTTATTACCTTTGGCTCCAAACAGGCGAGTTCTGTTATTTGAATTAACTTTTACCACGAACTAATTACATTTCCATGCCTGAGACATTCCCATAGTTGTGCTATTGTCTGTTTATAACGCCCGTTCATATGTATCTTCGCATTTAGAGATCCCCGGCAAACATTTCCTATTGTCACATTCGACACAACTGGTTTTTGAATATATATAGAAACATTGATTTTTAAAATTTTTTTTTAAATATACTAGATTTCAGAGGTAGCGATCGATGGGCCACTTGCAAGGCCTCCATGGGCCAAATCTGGCCAGCGAGTTGAACAGCCCTGCCATACAGGGCTGCACAGAGAAGCTCTACTTCTGACCCATGTTCACCATAAAGTCTACTTCTGATCCATGTTCACCATAAAGATCTACTTCTGATCCATGTTCAGCATAAAGATCTACTTCTGACCCATGTTCACCATAAAAATCTACTTCTGACCCATGTTCACCATAAAGATCTACTTCTGATCCATGTTCACCATAAAGATCTACTTCTGACCCATGTTCACCATAAAGAGCTAACTTCTGAATGACCCCACATGTTCACCATACAAATCTACTTCTGACAGCATGTGCACATTACAAGATTCTACGTCCGATTCAATTGTCACCATAACGAATATACTTCTGATCCATGATTACCATAAAGATCTACTTCTGATCCATGTGCACCATAAAGATCTACTTCTGATCCATGTTCACCATAAAGATCTTTTTCTGATCCATGTTCACCATAAAGATCTATTTCTGACCCGTATGCACCAATCAACACTTAGTGGGTATGTGGTAAACATAAGGCCACCCATGTTTTCTTCCCAGGACATTTCCCGCGACCCACGTTAGGACTGGTTCCCACATGGGGAGCGGTAGGCCCAAATTATAATCACCTGTTTCTTGAAGCAAATGGTTACCCCAGCATCTAAGCTATAGAAGGCACATTTAATATTCAAGATAAACAAGCATTTAAAGCCAGGGGTGGGCAACCTTGTCTGGTCCGCAGGCCAAATTTAGACTTACCAACCTGGTCCCAGGCCCATACAAATTTCCTTATAAACATAACACCCAGAGTTTCTTGTAACATATTTTTGCGGGATAATCTAGGATTATAATCCCTTGATGTGTCTGTCTGGTTATTTACAGAAATCATACTATGAGGGGAAAAAGGGAAAGGGGGCGGATTAAATACTAATTTAACACCAGCCTTGTGGGCCAGTAAAAATTGATAAGCTGGCCAGTTTACCCACCCTTGGCTAGAACAAAGACATCCCCACATGCAAAAGCAGACACGGAATTACGTACAGGGTGCATAGAACATGACCAAAACTTGGACGCTCTCGGGTACCGTCTGGTTTGACAAGTGGTCACTATTTAGGTAACGCAAACACTCTGGGTACCCTTCATAACGCCTTCCACCCGTCCTCCATGGGATTCAAATGGCGGTGGCGGATTTTGGGCTGGGTGCTGGGTTTAGTTGGGTCATTCATTAAAGGAAATGAAATCATATTCCTGTGGATTCAAGAAAATGTGCTTGAACAAAGAAGACAAAATCAATCTAATGCACAAAAAATTTATTGCCGGGGCATATTTCGTCTGGTCACGGCACAAAATAGCCAGGGAAGTCCATGCACATCAGCCATCGAGGTGCCAAATGCGTTCCAACAAATATGGGTCCAGCAACATATACCTAAATGCTCCAATGGTGTCAGGAAAGGCCCTTACCCTAGAATGACTCTTAACATATTTAAATATTACTAGTTCCTCCAATATACTTTTCCGGTGTCTTTTATTTCCCCCTATCTTGGGAAACTCTGAGATTCGACGAGGGAGTTGCCAAGAAAGTCTCATATTTTAGGGATGTTATGACAAGGCTGTTCAGTATTCATACAAGGTTCCAGAAAGTGTGTTCACCGGGTTGACAAACTGTTCTCCATACGATTTTAGTCTTGTTTTACAACTTGAGTTCTTCATGTACATCAATATTACAGATCTGTCATATTACAATTCTCATCTACAACAAATATAAAACACCTCTCATACACAACAAAAACAAAACACCTCTCATACACAACAAATGCAAAACACCTCTCATATACAAGAAATGCAAAACACCTCTCATATACAACAAATGCAAAACACCTCTCATACACAACAAAAACAAAACACCTCTCATACACAACAAATGCAAAACACCTCTCATACACAACAAAAACAAAACACCTCTCATACACAACAAAAACAAAACACCTCTCATACACAACAAATGCAAAACACCTCTCATACACAACAAATACAAAACATCTCTCAAGCTTACCTCTCTCCCTCCCATGTATTTCTGTGCATTTTTTCCATAATTAAAATATTTAAATGTTGGGTATCCTGTGACATCGTTAGACTTGCAGGTTCCTGTCTGAATTGTGCAGTCTACTGCCGCAAAGGCTACCTGCAGACAAATAGCAGACAATTTATCATCTTCAAACATACAACTATCTACAGACAGATAACTTGCAGTTTATAATCTACTAGCTGTACCCGGCCAAGCGTTGCTGTGGCATAGTTTGGCTAAATGGAAAAGAAAGAAAATAGAAATCGCACGTGTCTAATATGGTTACTGTCGCAATCATTGTCTGCGCACATACAGCTCCCCCCCACCCCCCTTTCCAAATCCACCTACTACTCGCTCCCTCATCAAAGGCTTTTGGAGAAGAAAGACAATAGAAATCGCATGTGTCTAATATATAGAGATAGTCTGGTTTGCCAATTAAGAACACGCAACATATAATTGCGTCTTTATATTAGTTGTCGTTTAAATGGTATTATTAGCACAGTAAAAAAAATGGTTTTTTGGTTATCACATGCTAAAGCTGTTTGTATGTTTTTTAAGAGACGGAAGTAAAGCTTACTACTGTACTTGTAAATAACCAAGTAAGTCGTTAAAAAATTGAGAATAGCGGAGGTAGCGTTAGTAAAATATAAACAAATTAGGAAATAAAAACTTTAAAAATCATGCGTTTAAGCTCTTTAAGCTAACAATTTCTGTTCATCACCACCCTCCCCCTCCCCCATCCACCGAATACTGCTCTCTCCCTCATCGAAGGATTGAAGTCATCACCCGTACGATATTTTTGTAACTGACGTTGGTTACCTCCATAAAAAAAGGGAGCAGGAATTGTAATGAGTAGTAAATGCGGCTAGTGTAATAAGTACCACACTATCCTTCAAGTACCAGTACGATAATACTACTACTACCACCACCACCACCACACAATAACTAAAATAATGTCACCTGCTATCTGTTTTACCGTCGGAGTAGACAGGGAGTCGTGAGAGCAGAGGAATTTTGGCGCCGCAAGGGCTAATGGCTGTCGGCACGGACTGGTCAGGTTAGGATGTGTAATTTCGCTCCCCGACAGAAAAATGCCATCACCTTACCGGCGGTCTCCTGCATGACAGCACTACGGTGTAACCGCTCAATTACAACTAGTACTACTGCTACTTTGAGTTGGTACGGCAGTTACTTTGACTTAAAGCTCTTTCAGTTACTAATTTATACAACCCCCCCCCCCCATTCACAGACTACTCTTTCCTTCAGCGAAGTAGTTTGGAGAAAAAAACCAAGTGAAATGCAATGAAAACAGGAAAAAAAATACACCATAATTACGAAATCAACGCTATGATAAACAACATAGCCTAATTCAAACGCAATGTCAGAAGAAATAATTAAATCGAAATTAAAATAAATGGATTTCTATGAAAATTCACCGTAACCAAGCAATCAGAAAGTTTGAAATGAAATCATAAGTATGCAAAATAGTCAAATTTAATTATCAACTGGTTTACCCACACACCTGTTTTTTTTTTTTTTAAATAGTATTTATGGCCACATGGCTAGTGCTGTCGCCATGACAGAGCAGGTGTGGGTTTTATTTTGCCCCCGGGGGGAAAAAAAAAAACTGCCGTACTGGGGATTCGAACCTTAGTCTCCCGCACGGGAACTCAGTGTATTAGCCATTTGGCCAGCCAACCACTGCTTCTGAACAACGAAAAGAGAAGAAAAATACGCAAGATGTGTGTCCCGATTCTAACACAACTCAAAACTGCAGGCTATTGTTTTCTCATTAACAAATATCCCAGATATAAACTTCAAGTATTATTGAAACGGCACAATAATAGAAATCGTACGTGCCTAACGTAAATGTCGCAATCATTGTCTGCGCAGACATAGATCGCCCTCCCCCCTTCTCTCCCCCTTTCTCAAATCCACCGACTACTCTTTAACTCATTGAAGGTTGTTTGAAAAGAGAGAAAATAGAAATTGTTTCTAATATGGTTAACGTTGTAATCAGCGATATAGAGATAGTCTGGTTTGCTGTACGGGCGGATGTTAAAAATGGAGCGTCCCATGTCTACTGCGCATGCACTGTGAAAATCAATCGCCCATGCGCATTTACTAATGTGGCTATAATTAAATGTCACTAAAAATGGAAATATTAGTTTCGAAGATTTTTCCAACAAATGTGGTCACCTATCTCTAACAATGACAGGTAGAATTTCAAATCATGATGGGTAAACATCCGGCATCAAAACAAACATATCCTGAAAATTTCAGCTTAATCGGTTCAGTAGTTTCCGAGTCTATAGCTCATAAACAAACACACAAACATTGATTTATATATATATAGATAAACAGACAAATAGCAGAAGAAGAAGAAGAAGAAGAAGAAGAAGAAGAAGAAGAAGAAGAAGAAGAAGAAAGAAGAAGAAGAAAACTTGCAAAAACAAACAATTCAGTAAAGTGGCTATATCATCTTTCTTCTTTTTTGAGCATCGGCTGTAGCTCCAGTGGGAAGTTCTGGCGTTCGTACATTTGGACTCTGGCTTTGCATCAGGGCCTGTACATCCGATTTACTAACTTATTTGTGTACAGTTGTTTATTCCTTGCCGCTCTGACAGATGCACTCCGACCGAAGGAAGCCTGACAGATGCACTCCAACCGAAGGAAGCCTGACAGATGCACTCCGACCGAAGGAAGCCCGGCAGATGCACTCCGACCGAAGGAAGCCTGACAGATGCACTCTGACCCAAGGAAGCCTGACAGATGCACTCCGACCGAAGGAAGTCTGACAGATGCACTCCGACCGAAGGAAGCCTGACAGATGCACTCCGACCGAAGGAAGCCTGACAGATGCACTCCGACCGAAGGAAGCCTGGCAGATGCACTCCGACTGAAGGAAGCCTGACAGATGCACTCCGACCGAAGGAAGCCTGACAGATGCACTCCGACCGAAGGAAGCCTGACAGATGCACTCCAACCGAAGGAAGCCTGACAGATGCACTCCGACCGAAGGAAGCCTGACAGATGCACTCCAACCGAAGGAAGCCTGACAGATGCACTCCGACCGAAGGAAGCTCCCAATTAGTCGACTTTTACCACATGCTTGTTGTAGAGGCAGTGGGTCTGTTCTTGTTTTCCCACAACAAAACCCAGGAACCCAAATGGTTTTCTCCACTGTTGGTGTTCACAAGATCTGAGCAAAGAAAGAAGTTCAGCAGTAACATGCAAGATTTTAACAAAACTGAACAATTCACACACAAAATGTCACAGAACTGGAACACGTTCAGAAGGAGCAGGAAAACTCCTCTTCAAAGAGAAATTCAATTTTCTATTAATTGTGCTTATTCTTTATTATAAAAAACTATAAATGTTCGTAACTCTGTACATAAAGTCCTTTAACGCTTCACATCCTATATGGCATTATCTATTAGAAGACTCAGTTAACCCAATTTTGACATAATTAGACAAATAAGTGGGCAGTGTTAGCCCGGTCGATAGGAGACTCGCTCAGCTGTGACTCGCTACAGCCCAGGGCCAGTGTTCAAAACTGGGCAGTTCCCAGTTCACACCATTTGAAAGTTATGTATATGTTGCTGGACCCATATTTGTTTAGACCATTTGGCACTCGATGGCTGATGTGCCTTTACTTCCCTGGATATTTTGTGGCGACCATTTAGGCTTGTTAGAATGAGAAACCCAGGGTTCACCCAGCCTTTAGGTAAAGGGTACCAGAGTTAACACTCTGGGGTAGATGGAGGAACATCGCTGTAGCTATAGAGTTGCGTGCGGACCGCAACACAGGCGGACAGTTTCTTATCAGCTGTCCATACTGGTGGCAGAGCACTTATGGTTTATAACCCTGTGCAATGACTCTGGTTCACATCCCCCCGACTTTACCTTTACCTTTAGACAAGTAAAAAAGTAAAGGACCCTTTTCCACGCCTTTAGGCGTATAGGGCATGACCTATATTTTATAGACCAATCAAAACAAGATTGGTGATGTGGTCAGCATCACGCCAGCCACCTTTACTTCCCGGTACCCACTCAAGGCTGGGTCGACCTGGGAGCCAAGGTCATTTTTGAAAAAAAAAGTCCGGCTCCCCCAGGGAGCAAACCCACGACCTTCCGATCCGCGGCGAGCATCCAGCCGCTCTGCCAGTGACTCCCTTACCTTTAGACAAATAATTGAAAATATAAAAATACAACTCACCTTTGGATCGGATTTGAACTTTTCAGCTGCAGCCATAAACTCTGGTTTGGCCTTCTTGCAGTGACCACACCCTAAAGCAAACAAACAAAAATTTGATGACACTCATTTATAAACAGATAATTGTCTTTTTCTGCCCTTAAAAGGGTGGCTGGCACATTGTGTTGTGGTTTACAGCTAAACTGTGATTCTTCTTCTTCTTTCGTTCGCCTGAAATAAGTTGTCTATATCAGCAGTTTTGTCTCTTGTATAAATTTCACTGTCGTTGTTAGTTCATTCAGTGGTCCATAGAGTTTACGTTCCACTGTTGTTCTTTCTGGGCTAAACTGTAATAATATCTGTGCCTTTCGTCTCAGTATATCAGATTTCTACAAATCGTTAGTGGTCTTTCAAGACACGCATGTTAAGGAGCAGAGGATCTATCCTCGCCATGGCAAAAAAAGGGGCCCCTAAAACACACAAGGAAAAGATAGCACAACACAAATCTGGAAATGACAAGCTCCCACCCGTTGTCATCTGTTCCTCTCTAAATAGTCTGAAAATGAAACACTACCAATATTATGAGAGTTGTCTAGCCAGATGCATTTTCATTAAACATAAATGAACATAGCTCGTCACTGCTGCGGACTGAAGCTCCGACCACTATAATAACAATCTTAATAATGTTTAGTGCCTCCATGGCTTAGAATTTGGTGAAATAATTTCACAGTGCAACCCTAAAGTTGCAAGGGTTTGATTCCCACAGTGGTTTACAATAAATTGTTCTTGTGGCTTTCAGACAGCAGTACAAGAGTCCCACTGTGGAAGACAGTCAGGCCTCAACCATATAATATAGTTCGCAGCAGACACATTACAACCAAAATCCAGTGCGAAGCTGGATTTTAAAAAAAATTTTAAATCTTTTTTTTTCTTTGCGTTTACTTGCTGTAAACTCGGGTGGAAAGGTCTGACTCCGGACTTTAATCTTGTTCCAGAACATGAGTGTTGCATGCCTATCAGTTTCCCAGAGCTGGTTTATTTGTACGCAGACTCTTGGTTCCTTCCCTCACAGGAGATGTACTCGACTTCAATGAATGCCCCCAATTAGTCGACTCCTACGCTTGCTGCATAGTCAGTGGGTCTATAAAATTATAACAATGAACAAACAACAACAGAAAAGCAAATAACATATAAGTTGTTTCAAATTTTTTACCCCCCCCCCCCCCCCCCCCCAAAAAAAAAACAACTAAATACATAGACACTACTGTAAAACATACATGGTGCGTAGAACATAATCAGACAATGCTTCTTCTTTTTCAGGAAGGGCTTGAACGAGTCGTCCGTCAGATGGACAACTTCACTCTCCACTTCCTCCCATTTGGGCTCGGGGGCTGGAGGTGGCGGTGGCTCTTTTGGGCTGAAAGATAAAACAAATGACTCTTACAGAACACATGATGTGAATGAAGCTCAATATCGATTGTTACAAAAATAAGAAAGGACAGAATAATGAAGAAGAAAAAGTGGTCAGTGGGGGCCATGCCGGTATTAGTAAATTATTATTAGCAATAAGACTAAAGTAAAGGACCCTTTTACAGGAAGAAGGGGTTATAGTGCTAGATCTATATTGTATAGACCAGCTGGCACTCCGTAGGTGATGTAGTCAACATCGGGCTGGCCGCTTTTACTACCCAGACTTTATATACTTGGTGCCCATTTAAGGCTGGGTCAGTCTGGGAGCAAAAGTCTTTATTTTAAAAAAAAAAGCAAAGCTCCGTTCCGATCTGAACCCACAACCTTCAGTAGTTTGCCATAGCATTCTAAAGCATGTAGGGTGGGGAAGGATAAAAACTACATTGTGCTTTCAGAAAATGTTCTGTTGGGAAGGAGAAATGGTGAAAATGTAGAAAGAAAGTGATTACTCTTTCATAAAAATTATAATTTTTTCCCTTTCCTGTGCTAAAAAAAAAAAATGTTCTGTTGGGAAGGAGAGATGGTGGAAATGTGTGAAGAAAGTACTTACTCTTTCATGAACTCCAGAATTTTCTCCATTTCTCGCTCATTGACCTCAAATGCAAACTCCCCATTCCTGAAGAAATAAACAGAAGTTATAAACACAGACATATTTTCGCCTGGAGTGATTATTTTCACCTGTACAAGATTGCTTCCACCACCGCACACGGAGGAAATGAAAGAGGACACTATTTAGCAAAAACTGGCTACAATAAAACAGTTCAGCCAGAGGCAAAATGCACGTACGAGGAAAATAAAACCTAGATCAAAGCAGTCACTGGATGTTACGTTATGTTATCACATTGGACAACACTTCACACTGGGCATTCCCATGTGCACTCAGCCCTCCAAGGCAGCAACCACTCCAAGGTACTTCTACTGAATGTTCCCATTAGAGGGTTATAGTGTTTCCTGTCTTGGCCTTGACACTTTCCTGACCAGCAATCTGGGGCATTACCGTCTCCATCACCAAGGGTGTTTAGAGATTTTTTTTTAAATGACTGGTTTTCCAATTAAATTCATTAAAAAAAAAAAATCAAAAACGAGTGTAGGGTTTTGAAACCCTCAGAACACCATTACAAATGGTTGCTATACATGAAACAAAAAAATATTTTAGGCAAATAAGTCACATGATCATGGTGGTCATCTTGAATTCCTTCGACTATTTATAGAAATTTCAGGAGATGTTTTAAAACAATCATCTTTTTCCAGTTCTTAGTGAATTTGTTCACTGTCAGTCCAGTAAAATGTTTGGGGAAATGGTTGGTGATGAATAAAATTAGCAAAATAGAAAGAATTTTTTAACAACTAACCAAATATTTCAACATTAAAAGTGAATAAAAAATATGAAAAAAATCCTCTTCGTTTATGTGTCATGTTAAAATGAGCATTTGTGAATGCTTGATTATAAAAGCACCTCTAGTTGAAGTCTAAGCTACTTTCTTCATTAACTGGAGCTGAAGCTGTAGCAGTAGCCCTCTGTCTTTATCAGGAATGTTGATAATCAATCCTCAACTGTGGGGTACAGCTTGAACAGGGTATCAAGTCTAGAGGGCAGTACATGCAAGTCTGGCTTCTTTTACCTGCAGCCTTACACACTTTACAGTCTGGTTTCTAAGTTGGCCTTCAGATTTTTTTTTTAATGGTGCTCAGTAAGTCGAGATGTTGTGACGTGTGGTCTTAAAGGTGTTATATTGTGTCGAAAGACAACAGGTCTAATAACAGCAAGACTGACGTCCTGCCTGAACATCTTTGCTGTTTTCGTATACATGAGAAACCAGAGGAAGTGAAGAAGAAATCTGGCATCTTGGTCAGTTTGTATAATATCCAGGGGATGACAATGTAGCAGACAGGTAAATCTGCTAGCTATTGCATCACCACAGTCCCTACAGGGAAACTGTAATCTAATGTTTGTGTCTTCACTGTCTGTCACAACCGGCTCCAGCTGAGGTCACTGAGTCTTTAATAATTTCATAATTTTTAGCCGACTTTTCTTGATTATTGCTGCAGCACGCCTGGCAAATGCCCACTACATCCTAGGGTGCTTTGGCACCCAGTTTGAGAACCGCTGTGTTAACGCATCGTTAGCCCGACCCGGTGATGTCAGCAGCATGGCCTGTCAGTTGGAGCCGGTCGTGGTTTTTGGCTCAGTAGTTAAATATAAGATTGTTAGTGGTGCCACTGGAATTGGAACTTTGTGCTTGCTGCTGAAGATGAGGGATGGAGCACTTATGAGAATGTCCTGAGTGCTGTGATGTTGATTCTTCAACATTCAACATTTAGTGTTAAATACGTAAACATCTAATGTGCTGCCACTTTATGCAACCATTCTTTATTAGATTAAATACATATCCTCAACATCAGCTAAAAATCTGGCATGATACAAATGACTTACTTGAAGTACTTCACTGCAAGATCAACCACAGAGTAGAGACGATGCAAAAAAACATGCAGAAAGAACAAAAAACAATTTGACATTATATTTAAATTTGTAAAAATATCTAAAAACTAACGAAATAAGCTTTTATTTAAAATGCATACAATAATAAATACACTAAAAGATAAAAATAATTAATCATACAGTTTAATGGACAAACAAGATTAAGTAATTCTTTTCACAAAATTCATATACAATTTGATATCACGATTTATAAAAGTGTGGGGCGTCCTTGATATTAATATATAAATATAATTACGAGAGAGAGAGAGGGGGGGAGAGAGAGAGAGAGAACAAATGAACGAACAAACAAACTTTATTTTCAAAGGGTTACAAATTGGGCACGCAGGCCCGTCTGACTTTCAGCATGTTTTGAATGTAGAGAGAGAGAGAGAGAGAGATAGAGAGAGAGAGAGAGAGAGAGAGAGAGAGAGAGAGAGAGAATATATATATATATATTATATATATATATATATATATATATATATATATAGTATATATATCATATATATATGATATATATATATATATAATGGGTAATAGAAATATAATTACAGAGAGAGAGAGTAGTGACAAAAGAGAGGGAGTCTAAATATGTATACACACAAACATATATATACACACACATACATCTATATAAACATATATACATATAACTGAATCAAATGTATACAGATAATGGCTTATACTTTTGACATTTTAAGTCGAGTTTTACATATTGTTAATTAGGCGTCTCATGATATAAAACTAGGAATTGTACTTTCCGACAGCCTACAGCAGGGCTATTCAAATGGCGGCCCGCGGGGGCCTAGCAAGTGGCTCTCGGAACATTGCCAGTTGTATTGTACTAAAGCTCTTTCTATGTTGGGGCTCTAGCCTTTGGCCCGCCACGATCTCCATTTTCAAAATTGTGGCCCTTGAGTAAACTTTGAACAGCACTGGTCTACAGGATAGCTACCTGTACCATAGGCAGAAATGGGAATGACAGTCCATGGCAATGGCAAGTGTGATCGACCAGCAAGACCTGCTCACCTTTAACACAATTTTGACAGTTAGAGCAAGGGATTTCAGGGTCATTGTTGCTATGTCAAGTATCTGACTTTTTCGTCTCAAACACACAGCTCTGCTACCTGCAATCATTTTCTCCTTTGCCCCATTTCCTTCCCGATTCTCCTTCTTCATGGAACACAATCCATGGCATTCTCTTCCCCTGAATCTGGCTCAGTACCTGTATCGTTCAACATCCTATTGTAGAAGAAGACAAACTGACTGCATGTACATACATCTATCATGTATCAGTACTTGCATACACCGTGTAGTGTCCGCCGCCCCACTGAGTGGGGGAGAAGGGGAGGGAGGAGAGAGAACAGGTTAACTGACCCCCAACAAGCGTGTCATAAAGGTCACATGCAAAACTCAAGTTCTGGAACAAGACTAAAAGTCAAAAAGTTGTTGTAAAATCAGAAATTTCTGCTGCAGTTTTAAAGCCAGTGAAAACAAAGAAGAAGACAAAGATGAAGAAGAAGAAGAAGAAGAAGAAGAGGAGGAGGAGGAGGAGGAGAAGGTACTTACATGTGGGAAAGCCTTTAACTGCATGCTCCTGGGCTATCCGTTTCTCCTTGGTTGCATCAACCGCTGCCAGGACTCCTTCCACCTGTTAATAAAAGAAGATCTAATGATAGAAAGCAAGTGGTCAATGGTTAAGATGCCTAGCTGTCAAATCTTTAGACTTTGGTTCTTCTTCTTTATTTCTAGTCTTTTCTGCTTTGACCGTCAGGTTTTGAAGAGGCACTGGGTAAGAGCTTTGGTATATGTACGTAGATCCTGGTATTTACAGTCTCGGATATTCCATCTATCCATCGCTTGAGTGGTTGACCTCTAGCTCTGCTTCTACTGTGTCTAGATGACAGGGCTCTCTGGGGCGCACTGTCTTTTTGGTAGTCTTGCTATGTGTCCAAACTATCTGATTTGTTGTCTCGTGATGTAGCTTATCTCTGGTTCCATCACAACTTGTTTCCTGATAAATCTGTTTCTGATCCTGTCACTTCTAGTTACATCAGGATGTGTTGTAGACATTTGTCTTCTGTGTTTACCGGCTGTACTCTGGTAGAAAGTCCTAGTTATTTGTCCATTTCTGGACATGTCTATGCTGTCTTTGAGACTAAGATAGGAAACATTATAACCAGCTCCTAATGGAAACAATCAGCAGAGGTACCTTGGGGTGGCTGCCGCAATCGGAAGACTGAGCACGCATGGGAATGCCCAATGTGCAGTGACGTCGATTGTGATAACATGCAGAAGAAACAAAGCCAGAGGAAGACCCAGAAAGTGATGAACAGAAGAAGCAGTAAACCAACTCATAAAGCTAGTCCAGAAAGGTGTTACTAATCTGACACTTGAAAGGCTTAAGAGGAAAACTGAAGAAAAAAAGACTCAAATGTCAAATATTATTTCATCACACTGCATTGTCATCCACAAGGCATGTGTGTGCAAAATGAGAGCACTATACCTTATCGGGAAATGGTATACAAATCTAAAACAGTCACCTAGACAAACCAACAAACAATTTCAAACATAATAAAAGCCTATAAAAACATCTAGGCTCACATTTTGTTCCTTGAGAATCTGAGCAGCTTCAGTATAACCAGGTTTCATCTTCTTGCAGTGACCACACCCTGTGGAGAATGTAGAGCGTCTCAGTTCACATGGGTATTTATCATACATCATAAAATTTGGTATCATGAATAGATACCACATCAAATAGAAAAGTCTGTTTTAAAAGAACACTCCCCTTGTGAGTTCGGGCGCCCATTTGTGGGGAAGACTAGTTAGAACCACTGTCTCCCGAACAAGCATGTCGTAGGAGTTGACTAATTGTGGGCACCTTTCGAAGTAGGAGTATATCTGCCCGACAGGCAGGGAACCAAGAGTCTGCATACACATAAGCCAGATCTGTGAAACAATCAGATTCTGGAACAGGAAGTGGGGTTGGGGGGGGGGGGGGTGAACACCCAGAACTTTCTGTCACAGACCCCATACTATTTAATAACCATACTGAAGAATTTATTATAATTGATATATATTAGAAACGCAAATCACTGTATGGGTTTTTTTTTAGGACCTAATTTTGTTGGGGGGAAAAGATCCCGACCCCTAATAAGCCTGTATTAAAAGTGACTAAACAGAGCTTTGCTGAAATCAGATATGTAAAGTGCAGACATCACAGCCTAGCTGTAAACTGCAATACAACGTGCACAACTGCCCTGTACAGGGTGAATGCAGAAGACCACAAAAAAAAATCACAAAAAAGATTGTATTATAGAGTTTATAGAGTTTTTATTTTACCAAATGATATCCTAGAATTCCGCAGCCCCCCTGGATCAAACTGAAAAGACTTCTGTATGGCGCTGGTAATTGTGTCTTTCCATAGATATCTTTCTTCTGTGCTGGAAGTAATTTCAGATACATACATTCTTTTATGCATTGATGTCAAACGGTTTAACATTTTATCTCTCGGTCTCCCTCTCCTCCTTCAGCTTTCTCATTTTCATGAGTACCCCAGTTTGTCCCTTCTCATGATGTGCCTAAAGAATGTGGATTTACATCATTTGATTAACGAGGAGCAGCTGATTGAATGGTTAAGAGCACAGGACTTTCATGTGGGAGGCCCTGTTTGAATCCTTGGTAAGGTTGGGAATTTATCTTATGTCGGAGAGGGGGGTTGGGTATGCAACAGCACTAGCCAGGTTTTCGTAAATCTTCAGGCTTGAAAGATCCTAACCCCCCCCCCCCCCCCCCCTCATTCCACCACAAAAGTCCAAGACTCTCTGCCATACACATATATATATATATATCATTGTGTAAATTCTGATACAGAACAAAGAAGACTCTTACACGGAGCATAAAACATCACCAGGACGGACGGATTCTGTTTAATGAAGGCATCAAATGTGTCGTCTGTCAGATGAATCACCTCACTTTCCTCATCAGCCCATTCTGGCTCTTTCTCTTTGTCTTTAGGAGGCTGAGGACTGTAGAGAAAGAACAAAAGAAGAAACTGATATGATCTTTTATTAGTATTTGGTCAGCTTTAACAATAGGAGGAAATCAGTTTTTTTTTTTAAATTGTGATTTTTTTTTACATTTATTTCATGACTCTTACAAATTTGTCACAAATGTTTTTTTTTTAAAACCACTTTGCAATGAATATTTTTCTTCATTTTACAAAATTGTTTAATGAATATTTTTTTTTTTTAAACTAAATTTTAAAGGGACAATTTTTCTTCTTTTAATAAAATATGTGAAAGAATATTTCTCTTTTTGTTACTAAATTCTGTGGTGAATATTTTCTCCATTTTTTTTTTCACAACTAAATTTCAAATGTATTTTTCTTTGGTACCAATGGCATGGAATATTTTTTTTAAAGGTGCCGATACCCACCTTATAGTGTCTATAAAATTAGTGCTGAAAAAAATTATACAAAAAAACAAAAAGGTGCCCCCCCCCCCCCCCCCCCCCCCCCCCCCCCGGACAGAAAACTGCAATGACAGCTCATGAAAAAAAGTAAAAGTGTTATTTTCGGGCATGGAAAAAATGAGAGAAGAAATAATAAAAGAATAAAAACAAACTGCTTACTTCTGTAACCAGGATACAATTCCTGCTTTACTGTTCTCTCCTCCATATTTGTATTTAACCCTGCCTTTTCTGTGAATATACACAAAGTTAAAAAAAATTAAATGTGCAGACAACAGTGACCTTTCAATTACAAGGTCACAGGCTCACCATCCAGCCCACATATCAAGGGTTCGAATCCCCACTGAGTTGGTTTTATTTAGTGCCCCCAGCTTCCAAATCCACCCAGCCTAAATGGTTACTAGGTAAAGTCCTGGGAGGTAAAGGTGGCCAGTGTGATGTTGACCCAATCTCTCACTGAATGTTGACTGATCTAGTCCTATATGGCTGATGTGCCAACAGATGTGAAAAAGGCCCTTTACTTCACAAAACAAACACAGTCATATGTGTATATTTTTCCCAGAGGTTACAAGATCTTTTTAAAATCACATATATGGCACAAAACAAAATGTTGCTGCCAGATAGCCTTGCATACCAATAGGATTTCACTTTTCTACTCCTGTAGGATTTGTTATTCGTATAAGTGTAAATCAATAGGATTTCTGACCTATGAGTGTAAACCAATATAATCTCACTTATCATTATGGGTGTAGGTCATAATCAACAGGATTACTCTTATTTTCTTAGTGTAACCAACAGGATTACTCTTATTTTCTTAGTGTAACCAACAGGATTACTCTTATTTTCTTAGTGTAACCAACAGGATTACTCTTATTTTCTTAGTGTAACCAACAGGATTACTCTTATTTTCTTAGTGTAACCAACAGGATTACTCTTATTTTCTTAGTGTAACAAACAGGATTACTCTAATTTTCTTAGTGTAACCAACAGGATTACTCTTATTTTCTTAGTGTAACAAACAGGATTACTCTAATTTTCCTAGTGTAACAAACAGGATTTTGCCATCTTTATGGTGCAATGTAAAGTAAAGGACCCTTTTCTATGCCTTCAGGTGTAGGGGGCATATAGGGCTGGACCTGTATCTTATAGACCAATCAGTACTTGGTGGGTGATGGAGTCAGCATCACACCAGCCGCCTTTTCTTACCAAGACTGTAACTGGTACCCATTCAAGGCTGGGTCAACCTGGGAGCCAATGTCATTATTCTTTAAAAGTCCGGCTCTGCCAGAACCAGAACCCACGACCTTCTGATCCGCAGGCGAGCATCCAGCCGCTAAACCATGATGACTCCCTCTTTATGGTGTAAATCAGGACTATTCAACCAAGTTGACCCAGGGGCCAAAATGCAGAAAACTGGGATCATCACGGGCTAGAGACCTGAGCCTCGGCATAGAAAGATCATCGATACAACTGGCAATGATCTGCAGGCCACTTGCAGGGCTGGCGGACAGACAAGACTGCCAGCGCCACTGGATGAACTATAAGAAAAAAAAACTACAAACCTTATACACCATATTTCATGACAAGGTGTCTTTTTTCTTTCTTTTGTGTGTGTGTGTGTGCCTGCGTGCGTGTGTGTCCGGGAGTTTCAGTTATAAAAGATCTAGTGATGATGTTTAATTTAATGGGGTAGACTGCAATAAAGCTGTATAAATACAATGAATAAATCAACACAAACAGAAATTTTCAAAAAGGAGTCAGAATTCAAGTAAAAAAATCACTTGTTTCTATCTCATTTTCTTTACTGCAGCTGTTAAGATTTAATCAATGGATCACTGGATGACTGTCAAAAGCTTTCTAAAGACTTAACAAGAACAGCTCTCGTAAAGTGTTTTTACTGTTCCAACAATAATCAGTCACAATCAACAGAATAATCTCAAATAAAACTTTAAACAGTTTGAAACAATATCAATTGCAGCATAAGACAATCTCAATCAGCACAAAGAGACACCTCATACAAAGCATATTCATTCCCACCCTATGCTACCAGTGCCAGACATGGTCACTCACAACACAACACAACACAACAGAAAATTAGTAACCATGGAAATGAGGTGTCTGAGAAAGACTAGGAGTAACCAGAAGAGATAAAATCAGGAATGAGGTCATTCGAGACAAAGTCGGCACAGAATCAACTCTAAATTACATACAGGGACAGCAAATCAAATGGTTTGCCCACTTGGAGAGAATACCTTCTGATGCCATACCTTTCAAAGCATAAAATAAAAGGGGAAAAAGAGGTAGAGCAAGAGGTAGACCAAGAACAATATGGGAAGATAACATCATAGCAACTCTACAGCACTACGATGTGTCTATGGTCGAAGAAGCCAGAAGAGCACACAGCAGAACCTTATATCTACCTTGACACCCGAAGCGGTTAAAGAGGAAGTGAAGAAGAAGCACAATATCAAAATAAAAAACAATAACAATATTTAAATTACAAAAATAACATTTTAAAAGTTTTAAATTAAACAAAAGTTATCGAACAACACACACAAAAAGGCTAAAGAAATACAGAAATTTTAAAATTAAAATATCTAAATACCAAGCAGAATAAATAACAATTTAACAACCCCCCCCCCCCCCCCCCCCAAAAAAAGCACTCCAGTTAGCACGTTTTATTTCTTTGTGTTTATTCACTTCCAGTGTATACTTTCAGTTCTATTTTCCTTTCATTTCTACATCTTTTTCGTGCAAGAAGTGAACATTTTAGTAAGAACTACTAGTACTTGACATTAACAAAATTATAGGTAATTAAAAGATATGTGTGCCGTATTCACAATTAAGGTTGGCAGGTCTTTAGGAATATTAAACGATCCGATTCTCATACCACTGTGTGAAAGCCGTGAGGATGGCCTTATTCAGTAGATATGGTGTGTATGATTATATTTACTCCACCCCTCCCCCCAAGAAAAATTGTCAATATTCTTTGAGATGTTGAAAATAGATTTGTAAAAACTGTGACATCATTGAAACATCATATAATTTAATAATTGTGTCCCACTGCTTTTTGTGGACAAGTGACCAAAACCTTTCTTTTGGCGATTAAAAGGGAGGAAATCAGTTTATTCTTTGTTCTGTCCTATAAAAATAAGGTCTGGCCCTATATGCCCAATACACCTTAAGGCATGGCTTTACGTACCCTTCCCCTTTCTAAGCAGGGCTTAGGGACGACAATTTTGGAGCGGTTATTTACCACCTATATAATTATTTACAGTCATCAGAAAGCAAGATTAATAAACTCACACACAGTCATTTATTAAAATGATCAAAATGTCATTACTGCCTTTATTTATCACTTTTGCTGGTAGGAAGAAGATTTGAACCTACGTCTCCCACACAGGGATTTATTAGTTTCTTATAAAAGATGTGGTGGGAAAACATAAATCAAAGGGCACACTTAACACATATCGGTGTCAGTGTCTGCAGCTTAGGGGTTACAAATGTGATGTGTATTTCCTAAATACTCGGTTCAATCCAGCCGCAGGCAGTTTGGCAGCAAACCCCTGTGCACTGATTTCAACAGTGGTATGGAAAGCCGACCATTCAGTCAGCAATGGTAAACTAGTGAATGTTAAATAGTCTAGTAAACCACAAAACAGCCAACAATTGTTAGGACTGGTTTGCAATGTTCTGTAAAGAAAACGTAACTAACTCAAACAATAGAAAAATTTAAAGGACACTGGAGGCTAAACCTTTCCCAATTGAAACCAGCACCATATCTTTTATCTGTCATACCATGAACATTCCTTCGTCTGCTGAACAGCGAAATGTTTGACCCCAATTCATAGTATCTGGGACATTTTTCAAATCAACCGAGGTGATTTCAAAATTATCCAGTTTGATTTTTTTTTTTTAAAACAGCCTAGGTGGTTTGAAACAGGCCCAGTTTGGTTTCAAAACATCATAGGTGGTTGAAAATGATCCAGTTTAGTTTTCAAAAATATCCAGTTTAAAGTTAATGCTTGAATCCGATCTTTGACATAATCCACTAAACATGAAACACTCAGATCATCTATGTCAGTCACAGATGTTTCACAGCTGACTGCCTAAGATGTGGAAAATAACCTGTATGCAAAACAATGAGTAATACTTTTTTTTATTTTTTCAGAGAAGTTAAATACAAATTGGCAGTGATCACCGGGTATGCTAGATTTCTTTAGTGCTCTTAATCAAATTTAAAATACAACAACACATTACAAGATGGTTAGGGTCCATTGGAAAGGATTTTAAAAAATTTATTTCTAAAAAAATCATTAAAACTACTTACTACAACAATGAAACAAAATGTCAAACTATGTCAAAAATGACAGTGAACTAAAATCCCACAGAAAGCATTAAAAAAACCAAGAAAAACTTACTGAAAACAACATGTTTACAGTCCTGTAAACTGCACAGGGAAACACGAAATTTATTGTTGTAAACAAAAGGGAAAAGCATTTTGCAGTAGAACAAAATGAAGTATAGTTATTACAAACACACAAGAAGAGATTTAATCAAGATAACTAAGAGTGGTGTCAGAGGCCAGTTTGGTTACGGGATGAGTAGGTGTGATGATAGTGAATTATCACATATGAACGAGTTGACCCTCAGTCAAACTCAGAGCCAGTTCGATCAGTTTGACCACAGAATAAACTGTGTCGACTGAGTTGGGCTAAGCCCTACGCCCCAGTAGTAATACAAGTGACAGCGTGTCAGAGATTAACCCTGGAGAGGAATAAAAGGCTTGGACAGAGCTTGTTCAGGGTAGACACGTGCGTAGACTTGGACTGGGCGGTTGTAGGACTTAGAGTAGTTTGTATTAGTGATGATTAGCAAGATTAGTATTTGTGGTTACGCTTTAGATATGTTGAGTTTCCATACGGTGTTCTGGCAAGATTGTTCATCTGTAATGTTCCTTGCGTAGTAGTAATTTTCACGCAGAATCTGTTAAGTAGGTAGTTAATGTTGAAATGCATTGTTAGTGGCGTTAACACTGCCCACTCATACTTGGATCACTCATATGGTACTGCTGAGTCTCGTGTGGCGAGGATGGCAGCTTAGTTAGCGCTGTACGACGGTGAGGTGGAATCGAGTCCTTGGGAATGGCTTGGGGTGGATAGTGAATATAAAAGCTATCACCACCGGTGTTTCCGATCAAGGAAAGTCCATTCCATTGAGGTTTGCTTTAGGCTGAATTGTTCTTTGTACATTAAAGATTATACGTTTACTCAATAAGGGTATGCTTTAAGTGTGTTCTAGGGTAGTTAGCTGGCCTACCCAACGAGCCAGAGGAAGTAGATAATAAAGTAGGTCTCTGACAAGTGGGAAACAAAGTAACACAGGCATAAAAACATCCTACAACTATAAATTAGTAAAATCTAGGAAACAAGGTAACAGAGACATAAAAATATCATACAAGTATAGATTAATAAAAGTGGGAAACAAGGTAACAGAGACATTAAAACATCATACAAGTATAGATTAATAAAAGTGGGAAACAAAGTAGCACAGACGATGTAACACAGTGATCAAAACTTGACACAAGGAACAATGGGAAACATTGTAAATCAAACACTAAAACATCACACTACAAGAAATAAATAATAGTGAGAAAGAATAGAATGTAGATTTCTATCATTACACAGTAGAAATTACTAAAAGTGGTAAACAGATTAAAGAGGTATGAAAACATCACATTAGTATAAACTTATTTGTGGGCAAACTACAAATCAAACCTTTACATATTTATGTGATTTTTATATTATTTTTTTTATTCATTTCACCAAGTCTATTTATTTAGATTATGAGCAGGAAAGAAACAATAAACATTTTTACAAATCAAGTTATTAATAATAGAATTTTCATAAATTACATATCAAAGTTTATTATTTTATTTTTTTAAAACTATTAAAAATACAAAAGTGCTGCAGAAATTCTACGAAACTAAGTATCAAGTGTATCAAGTAAATATTTGTAAACTTAAAAAATGGAAGCTGAATTAACTTTATACACTAAAGAGTGGTAAATCACATGCACACACGGCGCACCCGCGCACGCATGCACATGCGCGCGCGCACGCACACACAGAGAAAAACATCCATTTATTTATTTGTGAATCATCTACTGAAGAGTGGAAGTACAGTAACCTACACACAATACATCAAGCTACTTTTACAGACACACACACTTAATCATAAAGGGAAAAATTGCGTAGACTCAACACATCGAGAGTGAGAACATAAATAAACTTCAGTAACTGAAGATGGTAAATGTAATAAACCATTAAAGAGAGCTTGTCACTCAGATATAATTAAAGCAGAACTAGAGGTTGACCACACAAGCGATGGATAGATGGAATATCTGAGGCTGTAAATACCAGCATCTATGTAGCACACATCAAGGCCCACACCTGATGCTTCTCTAAAAGGCGACGCTGAAAGACAGAACAGGACTAGCAAAGAAGTAAACCATTCTCACTCAAGTTTAGAAAATTAAGCCAATGGCAACAATTCAAAAGCGGGGAAATTTAATGACTCACAAACAGGAAAGTGGAAGATTGAGCGAATTTAATTAAATATATACCGGGAAAGTTACCCGAAAAAATACATGCTAGATGAATAATAGGAACTTTAGTTAATTTCTCCAACTGAAGAATGGAAAATGTAGTTAATCTTCCTAGCGCAGATTTCAGGCCCCATTGTGGGGAAAACAAGAATAGAACCACTGCCTTCCAAACAAGCATGTTGTAGGAGTCGACTAACTGAGGGCATCCTTCAAAGTCAGAGTACATCAGCCTGAGTAGAGTTGTTGAGTTGAGTCAAGAATCGACATCACAGCACATGGGAGCATTCCCATGTGTGCTCTGTCCTAATCTTCAACAACCAGCGCAGAGTTCCAATACTGATGGTACCGGTCACAATCTGGTTAAATGTCCGTCTTACAAAGGACGTTGACCACATGTGCCTTGTTATGTATCAATTCACCACCTGCCTGAGAGGCAAGGAACCAAGTCTACCTACAAAGAAGCCGGATCTGTGAAACAGATATGCATGCAACACTCAGGCTCTGAAATAAGCCTAACGACCAGAGGTGGACGAACACCCAGAACTTTCCTCCAGAGTTTACAGCTGGTGAAGGTGAAGAAGAAGAAGTTAAACTCACCAACTAAAGAATGGGAAATTTAAACCTCACTAACTGAAGTGTGGAAGGTCTGGTAATGTTCTCGAAATTAAGAACATACCATTTAGAAATCTCACTGATTTAAAAGCACAAAATTCACTAACTTATGAGTGTGAAACTGAACAAACAGCACTAACCAAACTGAGAAATGCAGTGTTAAATAGATCAAAACATCCAATTTCACATGACAATTACAAACTCAGAATAATAAATGATGATAAATCTAATAAACAGTCAACAAACAGATAACTTACTCAAAATAATAAAGAGTGGGAAATCCTGTGATGTTGTACTGTAACCGTAAAGACACCATTGGAGGTTTATCGACATCCACTCCTGCGAAGGCCTGGAACACATTAAGAAGCAAATCCGATTAAGTCAAGCTATTATCTTATGTTAAAACTGTTTTTAAACATGAGTAACTCATTCAAGTCCTTAAGAAATAAATTAGGAGCTTTTGAGCTGAAATGCTATAGACAGTTTCTTAGAATACCGTGGACAAAGAAGAAATACTGACATTATAAAAGATCTGAACATCAAGGAAGATTGGCTTATAAACAGAATCTTGTCTAGGAAGCTGAAATATTTTAGTCATATTAAACACAAAGGCGAACTGAAAAAAATATTAGCAGAAGGCATGGTACCAGGAAGGAGGGGCAGAGGCTGACCAACATGAAGATAGGTACAGGATATAAGTGACTCCTTGAGTATGTAAGTACATGAGGCCGGAGAGCTGGCGAGAGACCAAGTTTCTTTCAGGCAGACCGTGATGAAAGCAACGTTCTGCACAGGACCTGCTATATGATGATCAACTCCATTCAAGGCATGGAGATTTTGAAATACTGCTTCAAAAAGAAAAAAGGTAATAATCGCTATGTGGGTTCTGGAGTCTCATTCGGTGAACATTAAGAAGAGGAAGAAGAAGGGTAATATCAAATGATAAACGCTATTTTTTTAAAGTCATAACATCAAATTAACGAACAAACTTATTTTTAAAGGATTCAGAATTGGGCACACAGGCCCATCTAGCATTAATTGGAAAGACAACAAGGGAAAGAAATACAGAATAATACCTAATTGGCTTAGTCGCTTGGATAGGGGTGGGACAAGAACACTGATCTGCTCCATGATTCTGGTGATCGTGTGAGATGGCAAAACATGGACCGTCTATAAAAGTGTTTCCCAAACTTGTCTTAGTCGCGGCGCCTTCTTTCAATTAACATTTTTCCACAGGGGTCCTAACTCAAGTAAAAGTATGGCTATTCATATGTAAGAGAGACACACAAAAATACACCTTGTGTATCTTCAAATATTTTGCTGCTTCCCTGTAAAAAGGCGCACAGTTTGGGAATGACTGGTCTATGCTTACCATCATGGCACATGATGATTATAAATTTGAATTGTAGTAAGGATAATCTGTCAATCAAATTGTTATCATCAATGTTCCATCTCCTGACAACGATACAAAGAACTAGTTTAAAACAGCCACGAATCCTGGACAATTATTAAATAAACCAACAAATCTCTGGAGGCCTTACTGGTTTTGCAGAAGAATGCTCAGAGCAAAAATGAGTAATCCAGATGTTTTGAAAAAGCGGGGGCCCAAAAGACACAGATATCACAAATATGAGAAGGACACAGTCACAATTTTGTAGTCCCGTTATGAGAAGAAAGAAAGAGGATCACAGGACAAATGGATTATTTTATGGAAAGAAAGAGAAAGATAATGTGAGAAGATACTTGACAGTACTTTGTCGTGGGAAGGAGGGTATTCACACAAACCGAAACATGATTTTGGAGATTGCAAGTTGTTGCTGTTGTTGTTGTTATTGATCCAGCGGCAAATGAGCTTTTGCCCTTTGGCCCAATGCCATGTAGTGGAATTTACATGTTTTCACAAGCTGTTCTTTTCCTCGGTACAAGGTGTTCCACCTGTCTAGTGTCGGAGGGAGTAGCATTCCAAACAAAGCCTCTTTGTTAATAGCTTTTATAAGTGTTTTTGCTGTCTGTAGGGTTGTCGCTGTAGGTGGTTGTTCTTGTGTTGCTCCTTTCTTTGCCAGTCTGTCAGCTCTGTCATTACCTGGTGTGCCGGAGTGGCCTGGAATCCAATGTATCACTATTCTGATGTTGTATGAGGTAATGAGCTGATCAGCATCTAGAATTATCTTAGCTATGTCAATTCTGCAGCGTTCACTGCCCTCCAGAGCTTGAAGAGCAGACACTGAATCGGTGGAGATGACAATATTGTGGGCCTTTGAAGGATAAACATCCATTACAGTCTTTAGGGGGTATACTGCTGTTTCCAGAGAAATTATTTCAGCTTAATAATTTTAGCAGAATTCCCTGCATGCATCAAATATACTTTGTCGTGGGAAGGAAGGGTATACACATGAACCGAAACATGATGTTGGAGGTTGCAAGTTGTAGAGAGGTATGACTGCCCACACTAGGTCAGCAAGACACCTGATGATGATGTGTAGAAATTCCATCAATCAGTTTATCACCTTCGGATGTTATAACAAAGGGCAGATTATCTCATTGGTGGTTGCAGTAGTTTCCCATTTGTGACTGCTTTGTAGTTCAGTTCCTGTCTAGAAAGGCATTGGCCGAAACGAGTTTATGTGTTGTGTTGTTTTGTGCACGTTATTCTGCTTCCCCATTTTGTTAAGCTTTTTAGTCACCGTTCACTGGATTAATTTCACAGTAATATTTCTCAGTCTATACTGACATCCAACAGAACGACTACTCACCACTTGATCTTTTAACTCTGTGGCTGCTTCAGCAAAATGTGGCTTTAACTGTTTACAATAGCCGCACCCTGTAAAGTGAGATCACAGGTTTAACTCTTCTTGCTAGAATTAACGGGTACACACGCAAACACTTGAAAAGAGACACACAAACGCATGTACGTGTGTGGGTGTGATGTGAAATGTATGAGTGTGCATACTTTATATGTAAATCATTATCCTCATCATCAGCAATTTCCAGTTCTGCCACTAAACGGTGTGGGGAGGAACAGTTTGTGAACCACTGCTTGATTGGCAGCATACGCTACTGTCATTCTGTGTCGATGCAGAAGCTCTTTAAATGTCATCAATCCATCTTCGCTGGTTTTGTATCTGATCTTTTAATGTGTAGCACCTGAGCTGGTAGTTGTTCTGGCTGCATTCTTAATAGGTGACCAAACCATTTGATTTTCTGCTTCTCAATTATTTTGCTGTATGATGATGTTGCCAGTCTGTTTGATAATATCATTTCTAACTTTGTCTCAGATGGTTAAGTTGGCGACATACATATATACATACATACATACATACATACATACATACATACATACATACATACATACATACACACATACATGCATGCATGCATACATACATGCATGCATGCATACATACATACATGCATACATATATACATACAAACGTACATATGTACATACATACGTGTATGTATGTGTGTATGTGTGCGACGTACGTATGTACGTATGTATGTATGTATGCATGTATGGGGATCAAAAAAGAGTTGCTGAGGGGAACAGAAAAGTGCTGTGGTAGCAGGCCTCTATCAAACCTGCAGGACTACACAGTTGTGCCGTGGTGCAGGCACTAGACAGCAACAATTTCTGTCACAGTTTCTGCTTCTGTAAGATGAGACAGGTGTTGCTGTTTGTGACTGCATTTTTTTAAAATTATTATTATAAAGGAGACAGGTGAAATATTTCTGCCATATTAAAATAATATTCTTATAAAAAGCAAACTGAATGGAAAAATTGAAGGCAAGCGAGAAAGACAGAAGGTGATACAAGAGGGAAAATATCATCAAGAAGTGGAGAGACAGCAGTCTCACAAAGTTCACAACTTGGATGAAAGACAATGTTGAAGATCCACATAGATATTTTTTGTCTAGATATAACAGTCTTATCTGCATGCATATTACTTAAGAGGTCCAGGGTAGTTGGCATCCTTTGAATACTTTCTTGAGGAAAGCAAGAGTGTTGGGAAATTAACATGCAGACAGACTGGCTGATTCTGCATTACTTGGAGGTAAATTGATGCATGACAAGCTAGATGTTTTTTTAGACTGACCCTGTGGCAGTGAGTAAACAGTATGGAGTCACAATTAGATGATCGTGATCATAGTCTCAAGAGAATGGTGCAACAGGGAGTGACAAAGGGATCTGGCCGACACTCCACGCTCAGAGGAAAGGCAAGAAGGACATACAATCAAACTGCTGCTGGTACCATCGGAGTTGGAACACTTCGCTGGGTGCTGAAGATGGGGTTGCAGTCTGTTTTCTTCTTCTTCTTCTTCTTCTTCTTCTTCTTCTTCTTCTTCTTCTTCTTCTTCTCTGTGTTTGCCAGATGTAAACTGTGGCGGAAAGTTATGGTTATTCGTCCACTTCTGGACTCTAGTCCTGTTCCAGAAACTGAGTTTTGTGTGTACATCCATTTCACAGGTCTGAATCATTTGCATGCAGACTGTTGGTTCCTTGCCTCTCAGGCAGATGTACTCCGGTGTGTTGGGAAATGAACAAGCAGACAGACTGGCTGCTCTGCACAACTTGGTGGAATACTGATGCATGATAAGGCAAACGTGGTTAGTGCCCTGTGGGAGAGCGTGTACAGTTCGGAGGAGCAGATGGATCACCACAGTCTGGTGAGATTGATGCAGCGGGGAACGACGAGAGGTTCTGGCAGATCCTCAAGGCTCAGAGGAAAGGCAAGACGGACGTTTAATCAGAATGCTACTGGCACCATTAGTATCGGAATTCTTCGCTGGCTGCTGAAGATAGGGATGGAGCGCTTATGGGAATATAACCGAGTGCTGTGATGTCAGTTCTTGAACCAAATCAAAACAAATATTCTTAAAAACTGTCAAAATAATGTCTGACATTTCTGATGATTGTGGTCAGTTGGCTTCACATCTTAGTTTATATTTTCTTCTTCATGTTACCCAGCTGTAAACTTTGGTGGAACGTTTTGGTTGTTCGTCTACCTCTGGATTTTGGTCTTGTTCTAGAATCTGAGTGTTGCATGCACATCTGTTTTACAGATCTGACTTATCTGTATGCAGATTCTTGGTTCCCTGCCTCTCAGGCAGATGCACTCTGACTTTGAAGGGAGCCCCCAATTAGTCAACTCTCACTACATGCTTGTTGGGGAGGCAGTGGGTTTAATCACGTTTTCCCCACAATGGGGCCCCACAACCCCAGTGGGGGAAAGTTTCAATTAAAACACCGGCGCTCCTTTTAATCATTCCCCAAAATGGCGGCATGCCACATTCTGGCCATAAAATATTCGAACAACGGTGTTCGCGTATATCTAAAATACGGACTTTCTGCCAAGGAACAAATCGCGGCAAAACTAGGATTACTTGACAATCAATATCAACATTTGCACACGGTACTAGTAGCAGACGATAAATACCGACCGTTGACAACAATTTTGAGCGTTTCTGCAGACGATACTAGCAGACGATTTTAGTGACCGTTGACCAATTTCGAGACATTACAGATGATGAAAGCCGATTAGCAATACTGTGTTCTTCCGATTGGAGGATTTAGCAGCGGTAGATGTCAGACTTGTCGGCATGCGCCAAACGCGATTAAACTCATCGCCGAGCGTATCCCCAGCGTCGCTACACGCGGCGCGAATGGGGGCTAAACTAGGTGCCTGGGACTCACGAGTACAGTAATTGGAGGAAGTTGCAAGAGATGCAGTAGCTGCCGCCCGTGAGTCCCAGCCATCTAGTTCATCCCCCATCCGCGCCGCGCGTAGCGGGGCGGGGGATACGCTCAGCGGTGAGGCACACTCGCAGAAGCAGGTCGGCAAGCAACGTATCACCGAGACCCTGTCAGAGCATTTGTTTCGTTATCCGGAGCCGGCACATATATTTTTAATAGAACTGACCCGCATTCTGATATTTTTTATATTTTATGGCCAGAAATTGGCCAATTTAGCTCTCTTTCGAAAGCCATCATATTAAAGCCGCCATTTTGGGGAACGATTCAAAGGAGAGCCAAAATACCTACATATATTAGAATTACACGAGTTTTTGTTTAAAATAAATAAATAAAACAAACTACTTACATGGTGCATAAAACATAACCAATATAGGGTTCTTCTCCTTTTTTAACAATTTTTGAAAATTCTGCAGGGAAAGAATAAACATACAAACTGTCAGGATGATGGCTGAAACAACATGTGGCAGACATACAGTGTGGAATATGTGAATTTTAGGCACTAAGCACTGGTGGGTCTTCTTTTTCTTCGTCTGATTAATGTAACTACATTGTGCCTGATTACAGCAAAGTTGAATTGGACCAGCGAGACAGGAAAACCATGCAGGAGCCACCCGTCGTTACATCAACCAGAACAGAATGGGAATTGTTAGCCTAAAAGACACTTGGAAACACACTCAGGAGGACTTATGGTCATGTCTGATGTGCGATGAAGATGATCTATCAAACAAACAATGAACAGCAAAGCTGCACTATTCAACTTCAATGAGCATTTGTTGAAAGGTTTAATTTCCTGGATAGTTCCATTGGACATGACGTAGCCTTATTTGTGTGGCACTGGTAAATGATACTGACACAAGTGAAAGCACTGTCAGTCCCTGTGCTGATGAAAGATTCAGGTGAATCATAAATACTGTAAAATGTTGGGAGTCATGTTGGTACAAAGATCGGTGGATTTGCTTATCAAATGAGTGGGCTGGATAAATTGCCAGCAAGGACAAGATTGTACTGCCGCCAGAACAGCTTGCTTGGACTATTCTGCACGCAGTCTGTGTTCTACCATATTTAAAGACAGCCCTCTTATAAAAATGTGCCTGAATTATCTGTGTCTTTCCAATTTTATGGGCTGCAAACCACCAGGGGTCACTTACAAAAACACCTCAATTTTATACTGCAAATCCTACTATAAAAAAGTATGGGGTGCACTTTTTTTTTTAAAAAAAAAAGGGGAGGGGGGGGGATAATGGGGGATGGGGGCTGCAGATTTTAGCTAACTGAAGCAGCTGCATGTTATTTCTATGTCATTTCACCATCACAATTGGAAAGAGAAGGCCAACCAAAGAGATGTATGTAGATGGGTGATATCTACAGCAACGAACCTCAAGGGCTCGGAATGCTGAAGAAGATGAGAATTATGGTCTGAGGAGAATGGCGCAGCAAGAAGTTACCAGGAGCTCTGGTCAGCACTCAATGGAAAGCGAGAAGGATATACAATCGGACAGTTATTAGTGTCATTGGGCTGAAACTCTTCACTTGCTGAAGATGGGGAAAGAGCGTGTTTGGGAGTGTCCCAAGTGCTGTGACGTCAATAACTAATTCAACATTTGTTTCTGAAAGGTTGGATGTTCGTATAGCTACAGAAAGCAACACTATGTGGTCTGTCATCAAATCATCCCTGGCTGATTTTGAGCTTTCATAAATAAAAATTATGAAACAGCCGTTATAACTCATAAGCCACAAACATTGATATAAGACAAATCTAAATGAAAGCAATCTTACATCTTCCGAAGACACATGTACAATATCTGTGGCTGTAGGGTCTTCTTCCCATGGAAGTTCTCCAGTTGGGTCCAATAAAAAGTTCACCATAGACTGAAATATACATATATAGTTCAGACAAATTAGGAATGGGAAAAAAATAATGAACAGCAACAACAACAAAATATATGAAACATACAAATCATGCATTACATTTGTGTAATTCATTAACTACAATATTGCACAAGTTGTTTCCCATATGAGTTCCAGGCTAACATTTTATTTTTCAGTCAGGCGGGTGGAGGGGGGGGGGGAATAATAGAAGCACCACACTTTAACAAACTTCTTCTTCTTTGAGTTCACCGGCTGTAAACTTGGTCTATAAAATTTAGGTCTAGCCCTATGTGCCCAATCCGCCTGAAGACGTGGAAAAGGGTCCTTTACTTACAGTCTTCGTCTTCCCCTTGCCTTCCCGTTCTGCTGTTAAAAAAAAAAATTCTTATAATCAATTCGGTCTGGCTGCATTCTCAACCATTTCAATCTTTGGCTGTCAATTAATTCAGATGTGGTCTGACTCCAACTTTCTCTCTAATGCTAGTAATCATAACCCTGGACCTTCTTGTGTTGTAAGTGTCCTTAGGAAGACAATGCATCTCACAGGTAGTTATTTTCTATTCTAATCCCCTATTCATTGTCCATGTTTGGCACTGATAGCTTAAAGTAGGAATGAAGTTGCTTTATGTTGCATTTGCTGTTTTCCTGGAAGGTTCTTCAAACAGTGGGACTAGCTGCACCATAAATCACAAACTACAAACTGTAACTAGTGTTGCTGCAGGTTGATTGTGCGGCTATGTCTTGTGTTTAAAACCAATGATGGCAGTTAGCATCCATAATCTTTGAAATCTCCTAAAGGAGACAGAACACTTATGAGATTGTTCCCAGTGCAAGACACTGCTTGTGTTAATGTAGGTAGGCAAACTGCCATGTGTGTAGGTGGGTGAGCAGGTCAGTTTGCACACAGGAGATTAGATAGGTAGATAGTCAGGTGAGTGTACTGGCAAAACAGAACAGTAACATTCTTACCTTAAATGTTAACTTTCTATCATAGTCTTTGTTAAACTCCCCATCTCTGGAGATAATAAAGGAAAAAAATGAACAATTAACAAAATGAAAAGAAATACAATAAGTCTGTGGAAATACAAAAGATACCACTACTATCAAAAGAAACCATTAACCTTTCTCCCTCAGAAGCCATTTCAGTAATGGTTTTGCTGTCTATTACAAAATGCTGAGTGGCTGGTATGTTGACAATATGGCCAGCATTGACTAGTCCCCGTTGTGCCTCATATAAGCTTTGCAGCTGTCTGATTACTCCTCTTCCTCTACATTTTTTATTTTAAAAATGTATATAAATAAATTTTTTATTTATTAGCGACTTGTGTATAATGGGTGGTCTTTTCAAAGGATTTTTAACATAATTAAAAAGAAACAACTTACAAGGACATTTTAAGAGAAAAAAAAAAATACAACATCTCAGCAGATCAGGTATAAAATCAAATGCTACTTCCAAGTCTGGCCAACACTAATGTTACAGCTCTCAAGACCTGTCCACATGGGGTCCATCTCAACATTAAGTTGCTGAAGTGTACGGAAATATTGTTCCATAGTTTTCTTCATTTTTCTAAGCACTTTATTATTCAGAGGACTAACTTTCTGACTACTAACATTCTGTCTAAGGACAGTATAAAAAAAGGCTACATTTCATCACTTTTGATCATGTACATTATTCAACTGAAGAAATTGTCAACGATGATGATGATGATGAAGTGCACCACATGCACATCTAGAAATGACAACATGAGCAAGCTTTATCAAGGTAACTACCATCTCATAACACTTTATATCAGGGTAGTCTCTGTAGCTAGGGGTAATACTGCGCTGTGCTCTGGAGGTCATGGGCTGTTTTTGAGCTGTGTCCTCAGGTTCACAAGTGCACATCTTTTGAAGATTCCTAGTTGTTGTTGTTGTTATCGATCCAGCGGCACATGAGCTTTCGTTCACCTTTTGACCCAATGCCATGTAGTGGAATTTGCATGTTTTCACAAGCTGTTCTTTTCCTCCATACAAGGTGTTCCATTTGTCTGGTCAATGAGGGAGTAGTAATCTTCTAGTCTCGCTGAGTTTTGGGTACTCCAAGAGATGATGGTCAACAGTTTCCCAGGGGTAGTTACATAGCTGGCACTCTGGGATGTTGTGGCTGTATTCTGTTGAGGATTTCTACAGATTGTAACTGTAGCTATAGAGTTTGTACAGTGTTACAATGTGCGCTGGTCAACTGCTGGGGGGGGGGGGGGGGGGAGGAAATGAGCCACATGAGGCAACAATTAGTGGAATGAACTCAATTCTTTGTTCAGAACTATCATTTCCAAAACATAATTAAACATTCATTTAAACAAGAACAGCTATAGTTGTTTAAGCAACCCTGAAATTTTGTTTCCCAAATCTTTAACTGAATGTTTCTGCATGTGAATTTCTTCTTCTTTTTCTTTGCATTCACCCTCAAACTGACAGTATACGACATGCTTGTTGGGGGCCATGGGTCTATTCCTACACCATATCCCCCCCCCCCCCCCCCCCCCCCCCCCCCCCCCCCCCCCCCGCCACTTCTTCCTATACAATTAATTTAGCCCCAGAACCTAAAAAAAGGAAAGAAGTAAATAAATTAAATTACAAACTTACTTATAGTGTTTCAGTTCAAACTCTGTTGGGGAAAATTTTAACTTCTTACAAAATTTCTTGTCATCTCTGAAAAACAAAAAATAAAAACCAAACACATCAAGGAACAAATCAAAAGAGAGAGATACACTCTCTGGTATATCTGCAGTTATATATATATGTCAAATATCAATGAAAGTAAAGAGGAGAAAACAAAGAATCTGTCCAAAAACAACTCTTGCCCTAATTCTGCCATGTGGCCTAACAGAAGTATTTATCTCTGTGTTATGTATGCAACATATTCCTCTGACTTTCCGCTTCAAACGCAGCATAGGTCCTCAACCACTTAATACCAAGCCATTTGGTAATGAAACAACCGACCAGCTGGCAAGTAATGCACTAATGCAAACGGGAAGAAGCATGGGCAGAGCAGATATCATCAACGCTGTACGGACTAGGTTGGGGGATAATGATGAATCTCTGACGCTAACATGATTTCTTGACCGGGTAGTTAGGCTTGGTGAAGCAAGTCTATGCCATCCTGGAGGGAGAGACAGGATATACTATAACCAACTCCTCATGGGAACAATCAGTAGAGGTACTTTGCAGTGGCTGCTGCATCAGAGGACAGAGCACACATGGGAATGCCCAATGTGCAAAGACGTTAATTGTCATAATATTATATAACAAGCCATTTGTACACTTGTTTACGGCTGACTGAATTAGCCAGTACACAGCAAATCTGACAATATGCCTGAAAGGTCACAGTCCTCGTGTGCTTCACTAATCAACCGTGGTAAGACATGGGGGATGCATGCAATTTGAAAGCTGGAAAATATCAAGAATAAACTGGACAGAATGATGTTTGTGAACAATGATGGTCTGGGAAAAGGATCCATTTCCCTGCTTTCAGGCGTACAGGGCATAGAGGGCTAGACCTATACTTGTAAACCAATCAGCACTCAGTGAGTAATATGGTCAACAATAGTCCGTCCTTTTCAGCCCAGGACTTTACCTGGTACTTATTTAAGGCTGGGTCAACCTGGCAGCCAAAGTTAGTTTAAATAAAAAAAAAAAGAAGAAGTCTGACTCCATCAGGACCTGAGCCCACAACCTTCAGATACTCAGGCGAGCGTCTAGCCGCTACACCATGGCGGCTCCCTTATGGCCTGGTACAGATGAAAATTTCAAACAGATTACGATTATAGTAGTTTTTCTTCTTCTATGTTCACCCTTAAAAGGGTGGTTGGCAAGACGTGTTTTACAGCTAGGCTGTGATATCTGCACCTTCTGGCCCAAAGCATCCTATTTCAGTAAAAGCCTTAAATAGTCACCGTTTACAACATGCTTGTTAGGGAGGCAGTGGGTCTATTAGTTTTCCCTTCCTAAAACGACTCCCTGGAACCCACATGGGAAAAAGCATTTCAAATTGCTACATACAGCCACACACAACAAACCAGAAAGTGGACACCTACCCACAGTTTATATATCCTAGTGTGGCCTTCCCCTTCATTTCCTCAGCCACATCTTCAAACAGCTTCATCACCTTTGCTGTGGCTTTTTCTGTGAACAATATGCAACCAAAATTTACAACATATCAATAAATGAAAGCCATATTTTACGACATATATACATGGCACTGGCGATCCAGGCTACAGTAGACTACATGCAGATATGAGGTGAGGAAAATTTACCCACTTCAGATTCAAGATACTGAAAAGACAAGGTACTGAAGATTGAAGGTACTGAAGACTGAAGGTACTGAAGATTGAAGGTACTGAAGATTGAAGGTACTGAAGATTGAAGGTACCGAAGATTGAAGGTACTGAAGATTGAAGGTACTGAAGATTGAAGGTACTGAAGATTGAAGGTACTGAAGATTGAAGGTACTGAAGATTGAAGGTACTGAAGATTGAAGGTACTGAAGATTGAAGGTATTGGGCATTCAAAGCACCAGAGGTTCAAGCTATATAGATATTTAAGGTACTGGACATTCAGGGTAGTAAATATGTAAAGTACTGGAGATGGAAGGTACTGGAGATTTCAGATACTGAAGATTCAAAGTATGGGAGGTTAATGGAAGATGGACCCTGAAGGTATGGAAGATTTAAGATATTAGAGATTTCAGATACAGACCAAGAAGATGAACTGAAGGAGGTGAGAAATGAAAAGTGAAGGAAAATTACTGAGAACTCAGTTATGGTGCAAGTGATGACGTGAACCATAACATCTAGACTCCCCCCCCCCCCCCCCCCCCCCCCCAACACCCCCAATCATCTCAAACAAAATTACAAAAACAATTCAGGAAACATTAAAAAACAGGCTGAGAATCTCTCACCTGAATGAGCACATATTATCAGCAAGTTTGTTTTTGTTCTCAGCAGCTTTTTAAAATCTTTGAAGTCCTCAATCCTGATTATGAGTGATTTCTTGTTTCCACTGCTGCTCTGAGCGGTTGACTGGTAAGGAACTAACATCTGAAGATGACAAAGAGATCAGACATAACTAACTTGCTTCTACTGTCCCTGAGCGAGCGGACAGTATGTGACTAGCATTTTAATCAGTTAATCACAGTTCCAACAAACGGGTCAGTTTATTACTGCTCTGTTCTTGTACCAGTGGAAACCATACAAAATGCCAATCAGTCTTTATAAAGCCAACTGCATACACGCGCATTAATTGCATAAAGTAGCCGCCAGAAGTGTCATAACAAACAGCCTGCCACAAGAACTGCAGTTCATAGTCAACAGAAGCAGCAGTTACAAATCAGAAGTTGCATACATACTAAATCGTAGAAGATACCACTATTTCTGTGACAACAAGGCATTTGCCCTTTTCTTAATCTGTAGTTCACAACATGAACCACCCTTGGTACAGCTAAGAGGATCATGAACCACCCTGGGTACAGCTACGAGGATCATGAACCACTCTGGGTACAGCTACGAGTATCATGAACCACCCTGGGTACAGCTACGAGTATCATGAACCACCCTGGGTACAGCTACGAGGATCATGAACCACCCTGGGTACAGCTACAAGGATCATGAACCACCCTGGGTACAGCTAAGAGGATTCCAAACTCAAATCTGCAGCTCAGAGTGTTGCAACAAGCTCACAGCTCAATAGCTGGGCAACATTTTAACCCCTTTCACCTCGTAAGAATCTTACAAAATGAACTTTTTCACAACTTTGCTGAAAAGAAATATCCTCATGATTCACTGAAACTCTTCAGTGAGAAATTAGAGGAAAAGAAAAAGAAGCAGAAGAAATTTTGAGTCTTGGGCAGTTTTTATAAACATCCAGGGGTCAAACCCTTAAACCATCAAGCAGATAGGCATGCCTGATGTTTACGGTTACACCGCAGCCATTGAATCACTAAAGTAATCCGTACTAATTTTTTTAATTCGCTTTTGCATCAAAAAAAAAACTTTTTAAGTTAGGGAATTAATTTTAAAAAATACAAATGGAGCAAAGAATAAACTATGACCATGAAAATAGGGATTCTGTTGACTAAGCGACGGAGAGCAAAGTGACATCACTATGAAATTATTATGAGGTACTGATGTCGTCCTGTGGCTTAGGCCTTGCCAATGAACTTCGTAGTGCCAGGGCTGATCCCAGCAGTAGGCGATCTGGCTGCCAATCACATGTTAATTTTGCTGTGGTATAGAGAGCCGACCATTCAGTAAGCAATGGCAAACTAATGAATCTAAATCTGCTTTAAATCAACAAACCAGCAAAAATAATAATGGTGTTGCTTGTGCAACAAGAGAACAAGAATAACTAACTTACTTCTACAGTCACTAGGAGTAGTTGGGTGGTAAGGGTCTAGCATGTAAAGATAACAAAGAGAACAAGAATAACTAACTTACTTCTACAGTCACTAGGAGTGGTTGGGTGGTAAAAGACTAGCATGTAAAGATAACAAAGAGAACAAGAATAACTAACTTACTTCTACAGTTACTAGGAGTGGTTGGGTGGTAAGGGTCTAGCATGTAAAGATAACAAAGAGAACAAGAATAACTAACTTACTTCTACAGTCACTAGGAGTAGTTGGGTGGTAAGGGACTAGCATGTAAAGATAACAAAGAGAACAAGAATAACTAACTTACTTCTACAGTCACTAGGAGTGGTTGGGTGGTAAGGGACTAGCATGTAAAGATAACAAAGAGAACAAGAATAACTAACTTACTTCTACAGTCACTAGGAGTAGTTGGGTGGTAAGGGACTAGCATGTAAAGATAACAAAGAGAACAAGAATAACTAACTTACTTCTACAGTCACTAGGAGTAGTTGGGTGGTAAGGGACTAGCATGTAAAGATAACAAAGAGAACAAGAATAACTAACTTACTTCTACAGTCACTAGGAGTAGTTGGGTGGTAAGGGACTAGCATGTAAAGATAACAAAGAGAACAAGAATAACTAACTTACTTCTACAGTCACTAGGAGTAGTTGGGTGGTAAGGGACTAGCATGTAAAGATAACAAAGAGAACAAGAATAACTAACTTACTTCTACAGTCACTAGGGGTAGTTGGGTGGTAAGGGACTAGCATGTAAAGATAACAAAGAGAAAAAAAATAACTAACTTACTTCTACAGTCACTAGGAGTAGTTGGGTGGTAAGGGACTAGCATGTAAAGATAACAAAGAGAACAAGAATAACTAACTTACTTCTACAGTCACTAGGAGTAGTTGGGTGGTAAGGGTCTAGCATGTAAAGATAACAAAGAGAACAAGAATAACTAACTTACTTCTACAGTCACTAGGAGTGGTTGGGTGGTAAGGGTCTAGCATGTAAAGATAACAAAGAGAACAAGAATAACTAACTTACTTCTACAGTCACTAGGAGTGGTTGGGTGGTAAGGGACTAGCATGTAAAGATAACAAAGAGAACAAGAATAACTAACTTACTTCTACAGTCACTAGGAGTAGTTGGGTGGTAAGGGACTAGCATGTAAAGATAACAAAGAGAACAAGAATAACTAACTTACTTCTACAGTCACTAGGAGTAGTTGGGTGGTAAGGGTCTAGCATGTAAAGATAACAAAGAGAACAAGAATAACTAACTTACTTCTACAGTCACTAGGAGTGGTTGGGTGGTAAGGGTCTAGCATGTAAAGATAACAAAGAGAACAAGAATAACTAACTTACTTCTACAGTCACTAGGAGTAGTTGGGTGGTAAGGGACTAGCATGTAAAGATAACAAAGAGAACAAGAATAACTAACTTACTTCTACAGTTACTAGGAGTAGTTGGGTGGTAAGGGTCTAGCATGTAAAGATAACAAAGAGAACAAGAATAACTAACTTACTTCTACAGTCACTAGGAGTGGTTGGGTGGTAAGGGACTAGCATGTAAAGATAACAAAGAGAACAAGAATAACTAACTTACTTCTACAGTCACTAGGAGTGGTTGGGTGGTAAGGGACTAGCATGTAAAGATGACAAAGAGAACAGGAATAACTAACTTGCTTCTACAGTCACTAGGAGTGGTTGGGTGGTAAGTGACAAGCATGTGAAGATGACAAAGAGAACAGGAATAACTAGCTACACTGTCACCAGGAGTGCAATTATGTCCTCCGGTTAAAATGGACGCTAGACAGCGGCGCTGTTCGAAGCAGAGGCAAATTTTTTTTTGCTTCTGCCGGACGGTGGCCGAAGTATTTTTGCTCCATTTGTAGACTGGATATAGTTTCATCGCCCAGCTTCTGAGTTGAATGCATGGCGTGACCCTGTGAGCTGCGGATTGCATTTGGAATGTATTTTCGACTGTGACCAACATGGTGGTGTGAATTGTAGATTCAGAAAATGGCGTGATGCCTGTAGTGCAATGTTGGCGGTGCCCGTATGTGATTACAATTGATCGCGTGGGCAACTGCTGATCTGTTGGCGACAAGTTCTGCTATCATCAATGATGAACTGCATTTCTAATGTTGGACTGTTTGTGTTAGCACTTCGGATGGCTACCGTATGCTTAAATGCGAGTGAATGCTAGATATGCTGAGACAGCAGTCTGTCAATCTTTCCACAAGGGACTGTGATAAACATTCTGAGTGTTTTTCGTTGGCACAGGAGCGGAGCAAAGATGGGGCGACCTGTTTGCTATGAAGCTGACACTAAGACTACCAGACTGAACTAAATATTGTTTAAATTACTACTACTAGTAGAAGCAGGAGGATAGCATGTTTGCCTACTGGGCATGTGTTTAAATCTCAATCTCTACCAAATAGCAGGCTTCAATTGCAGATCAGAAGGTTGTATGGGTTCGCGTCCTCACGGAGCCGGACTTTATTTCACAAATGACTTGTCCCCTTGGTCGACCCAGCCAGGGTACAGGTAAAGTCCTGGAAAGTAAAGGTGGTCGACGTGATGTCGACCACATTACCCACCGAGAGCCAAATATAGGTCTAGTCATATGTGCCCAGTATGCCTGACGCGTGAAAAAAGGTCCCTTACTTTTTTTTTAGCTCTTTTGGTTGTAAATAAAATATATATATTGGTGGGGAAGGGGGGGGGGGGTTGAATGCGGTTGAGCAAGGAGCAGACAGAGATATAAGTGGGAGTATAATAGCAGAAAATAGACAAACAGCAGTCTTAAAGAGCCTACGACCAGTCAAGAGACAGAAAGTGTTGTACATCCATAGCAGCCAACCGTCACGAATGACTGAATCTCCCCGTGTGGGTTCCGGGGCCCTATTTATAGGGAAAACAAGAATAGACTCACTGTCTACCCAAAAGCATGTCGTAATAGTCGACTAATTGGGAGCTTTCTTCGAAAGTCGGAGTGCATATGCCTGAAAGGCAAGGAACCAACAATCTGCATACGAATGTCAGATATGTCAAACGGATACACACGCAACACTCAGGTTCTGGAACAGGACTGGAGTCCAGGAGTGGATTAACAACCAAAACGTTCCGCTGGAGTTTACAGCCAGTGAACGCGAAGAAGAAGAAGAAGAAGAAGAAGAAGAAGAAGAAGAAGAAGAAGAAGAAGAAGAAGAAGAAGAAGAAGAAGAAGAAGAAGAAGAAGAAGAAGAAGAAGAAGAAGAAGAAGAAGAAGAAGAAGAAGAAGAAGAAGACTAAATAAAGAACTGACAATATTGCACCCGGGACATTCCCGTGTGTTCTTGGCCCCCTTGCCGGTTGATAATGAAGAGTCTCACACCGATGCATAAGTGCCGGAACTTGGGAGTCTCCAATGTCTTTAGAGCTCCCCCCTCCCAAATATGGGAGGGGGTATCACCGTCACCAAAATAATGAGGGGACTGCGAGGTTCCCTTTAAAGTAAGGGACCCCTTGCGTAATGGGCCTATTGGGCTAGATCTATATTTTATAGACCTATAGGCACTTGGTGTATGATGTGGTCGACATCACATTGATCGCCTTTCCTTCTTAGGACTTTACCTCGTACCCATTTAAGGCTGGGTCGACCTAGGAGCTAAAGTCAATTTTGAAAAAAAATTAGTCCGGCTACGTC